GATTTTTGGATAAACTGACGCGATTGGTCAAGGCCACGATGGATCGAGTGATGTGCGTTGTTCGAGTATCGGGAACACTCTCGAGTCCCTTTAAATATCGAAGGGGGTTACGGCTAGGTTATGGACTTTCGTGTCTGCTATTCAACATTGCGTTAGAAGGGCACTATCTTCAGAAAGTCCATCCAGCTTCTTGGCTTCTTGCCGATGACATCGACATCATGGCACGGAACTTTGAGACGATGGTGGAAACGTACATCAGACTGAAGGCTGAAGTTAGGCGTATTGGACTTGCCATCAACGCATCGAAGACGAAATACAAGAGAGGAAGAGGTTCTAGGGAAGACATGTTAGCATAGAGGTAACTCTAAGACCAGTAGGTCCCGAAGAAACGAGCTCACCTTTTTGGCTCAGCTCTGGTACTATCTTCGGTCCCAAGCTAATTGATTCACCCCCCGAAACATAGGAAAATCCACTAACCCCTCATTTTATCTGTCGAGCTTTCATAGCGAATCAAAACAAACATAGTGTAGTACTGGAATTTATATAAGAATGGGGTACGTTAGTCGATTTGCTTGGGATCAATAGGATAGCCAAGTAGTGAGCCAATTTAAAATCGTTAGTTTCGTATTGATTGTTGATGATACTGTATTGAAAAATCTTTGTTCGTTATTGTTTCATAAGATAAGGGGTTCCGGAAAAGAATGTATTGAGATTGAAAAAAAATGATTCTACTGCAATATTTACTTTGCTATGATTCTAATTGTAAGCCTTCTACACGGCTAATTCAGATTCCAGCCCTAGTACTCGGACTTCATGAACCAGTTCCATCAACTCATATAATTTAGTCGTTGTTTTATTGCACACAGGTGCATTAAGAAAGATTTGAACAAACGACACCACCGAAACGGAACATAAATGTGTCAGTGCTATTTGTCTTCACTCTAGCAAAACGAGCATAAAGTTGCACTAAATTCCATGTCGGAAGAGCTGTTCTTACTTCATGCTATTTGAACGAGCTCAATCTTGAGGTCAGCCGTGGCCCAGTGGAATCGAGCGCAGACACCGAAAGCATCACACCTCAACAATTCTTGATCGAATCCCAATCAGCTACAATAAAAAAAGACACAACTGTGAAAGCTCCCACTGCCTGATGTTTATTTTTCGATTTATTTTTAGAAATCGATTAAATATATGTGTCAAAAGAAGAAGTAAATTTCATGTGATCTTCACATAAACTTTACTTCGATTTATTTATGACTCATATATTATATTGTGGGGAAAAGTAAAGCTTATGCTTATGGGTTTCAAATCCATTTCAGTTAATTATTATAATTTGACCGATTTTCATTTATCATATGACGATCATATAAAAGTTATCAAATTAACAGCATTGTAAATGCATCAGATATAGAATTTACCTGACACATTTTCAATCATATCATTTTCAATGTATTATCTTATATTGTTATTGTTATTGCTCAGTTCACACCCTGGCAGGCTGCTGCCGGCCGATCTGCACTTAAGCCAGGCATGAACCTACGGAAATTTAGTCGTGGCCTATGCTAGACCGTATAGCATAACGACTTTCCTTTCACTAGCAGGCTTTTTGGTCCCACTAGCGTCCGATTAGGGGATAGTAAGAGATTAAAAGAATAAAACGCTGGCCAGACTGAGCAGTTATAACATGTTATAACGGTTGTCAAATAATTGCAACACAGAAACCACAATCAAGATAGCGCTATAACATGTTATAACTCTGCAGTCTGAACGTACTATAAAGAAGAGAGATAGACGATTTTGTTGTTTTGCTGAAAAGAAAAAAAAAAAAAAACGCCGGCTTGTTGTGCAACATCAATCAAATTGGTTCATTGTAGCTGCGCCATTACGGACTGAGCTAAGCGAGGCCCAGTGTCAAATGAAATGTATAAATGGTCGCACATACCGTTTATGCATTCTTATAGGACCTACACAGCAAAAAAAGTTGTTGAATATTACATCGAAACAGCTGCAACCAGGTCAATCCAACGGTTGTGTAATATAACGTAACACGTACATCGATTTTGCGAACAAAATTACATCCATTGATTGTATCTGCTTTTTGCTATTACATCATTATTTCATTTTTTTGCTATTACATCAGCTTGAATTACGTTGATCGATATTACATTTTTTTTGGCATGTATGTGGTCCCGACCAACCGTTCGTGAAACTTCTTCAAAGTTCTTTATACAGAAATAAAGATATATGTCGGCAATTCTTTACTTTAAATTTTCTATGATTTCGATGTACCATTTAAAAATCTTTATTGATCGATACTTACATTTAAGATTATTTCTTCATCGGTCATATGATAGTAATCTATAAAGGTACCATACTAAATTTCTTTTAATTTCGATATGTCACATGGACTTTAGTATTCTTTACAAATATTCATCAATAAATATTTAAATACTGATATCATCATAACTTTGAACTTTGACAAAGAACAACAAAGATTGCCATCGATGCACATTTATAAACTCCTTGTTATCGATTTGCATCGCTGGTTAAAGAGAGTTCGAGACACACCAGGTGACAGATGGCAATGTTTATATTATTTATCGACATATTCGGCACTTCATCGGAAGAAGCAATCTGCCGGTAAATGAACGAGAAGACCGATGGCCGCGACGCAGCAAATGTTTACCATTGTAGTTCTTCAAGTTTACATCTATATATTTAATAACCCGTGATAGCATGCGTGGTGGGATTCTCGGCATTTGGAACCCAATGAGGAAAATTGATACCTTTTTGGCCTCTATTACACCTACATGGCGGACTGGTTGATGGTTATGACAAATAAATATTGAATTCATGTATGAAAAGATTTACAGAAATTTCAATACACCACATACTAGAGTGTGTTTGCCTGTCGTTGATAAGCTCATCAACAGCAGCCGTGGACCCGAGGATTAGCAACCAACAACGAAATCAGTACACCCCAGATGGCATGGGATCGAAACTAGAAATTATTCAGTTCTAAAATCACAAATAAAATCAGCAGTTGTGTATCGATATTTTGATTTTTAAACAGAAATCGATATTTTGATCTGGCAACACAATCGATATTTTAACATTGGTAACGATTGGTAGCAGTATTTTGAGAAAGATTTTTATAAACGATTCACGATTAAACTTTTAGCAAAGACTACAAATCAAGAAGACTGGCAACTTTACCAGAATCCAAGTGACAGATACAATGGCGCTGCGCTTGAGTGAAGGTGGAAGCAACGCATAGAAAAATGAGCAAATACACAAACTCTTCTTCTGAGGATTTAATCTTTGCTATCAAATTCGTTCGAAGCATTTACCTTTGAGCGGCAGATGACGCGATTGTACCTGTCTCATAGCGTTCGTATGAGAAAATGGAAGAGTTGCCAGTCTTCTTGATTTGTTGTCTTCGCTTTTAGCATCTTTACAATTAGTCATGAAATGGTGACGATCGCTATCGATTTTTCTTATGAATGGATCTTCAACGATGTATAGAAAATTAAAGAAAATTAACGAAATGCTTGGTCGGGGTTTGTCTTATGGAATGTATGAGGCTCGAGGAAGCAGGACAGATTTTGTTTTGCTATGGTTAACTGCGCGTATGCTGAGTAGATAGAAAGGAGATTGATGATGATTCTGAAGATTACCTGCAAAAAGATGATGCACGATGAAAGAAGATTTTTCGTAGATTGATTCGGTAGTGTGAAATGTTTCGAGCATCTACGCCCCCCTCAATAAGGCTGATGTTTTGGCAAAAATGCAAAACACAGGAATAAAATAATTGATTTTCGTTCCGTGTAGTGAGTTACGGTGAACTTTTCCAACACTGGTTTGGATTTATCGAAAGATTTAGCTATCATTTTTTTTCTTTGGATTTGTCATTGCAGACATGTAGCTAGCATTTTAGGGATCCATCAAAACTCATGTACTTTACTAATCAAGGTTTTTATTACTTCTTGCGTGAAGTTGGAGATGCTTAACGAATACCAATATCAGCCTTAAGGTGAACATTTGATACGATATAGCTTACACAAGATCAATTCTCGAATATTGCAGTGTAGTTTGGACCATACCAAGAAACTTATATAAGTCGTATAGAATCAGCTTAAAAAAGTTGTTATTAGCTCTTAGAAAACTAGCCTGGACTTTATTTCCACTTCCTTCCACGTGTGGAGGTCACGTTATATGTTGATTAACATTGAAACACTGAAGAAACGAAGGCAAATTGCTATGCTTTATAAATATTTTAAGATTATTTATGTAACTATGCCTAATAAGCTAGATTAAGAATAATATTGACTGCAAGAGTTTTATCCCGTAGAGAATAATACAAATGTAACTAAATGTATATAGGGTCTACACTGATTGGTGAAATAAATAAATAAATAAATCTTTACCAATAGATCCATTACTCGAACGTCAGAAGAAACAACCAATACATCATTTATGGATGTTCCTCTGCATGTGCTTCATTAAGCATTAAACATTAGAAAATAAAATCTCCAAGTATGGGATCTTGAACATGTTTCCACAATCCATAATCAAAAAAAAAAATATGCTTTTCAAGACTAGAATAGTTTTCTAAATTAGAAATCTCGATAATTTACTATTGTGTGTATTTTTATATACAGCATTTTAAAAAATAGCTAGAAATGTTCAGATGTTTCCTTATCACGAAACCTCGAAAATTATTCATGTTCCAGATTAGTTTTACAAGATATTACAAAATTTTACAAGATATTGAATTTTTTTTCAAAATCAAGGCTGCTAAAATCGACTTTCAAGTTGAATCTTTCACTTAACTCATTTTTCTTCACCAATTTAAGTGCTTCATAAATGAAATGAGGGTATACTCGTATACTTAATTAATTAAAAATGTTTGATATTACACACGCATAAGTCCAGTAGTGCACTGTAGAGGAGATCACTCCCACTTACATCTTCAACTCAACAAAGTGTCAAACAGTCGCACCACGTCAGAAGGCGAAAAACGCCAATCGACTGTATACTGTTCCACGCATATCATTTATACGGCAGTTATTTAGCAGAAAAAGAGGCAACAATAGAAAACTATCGACGACTATCACGGAATTTTTTTTTCGGAACAGTGCTTTTCCTGGGAATAGTTAATTTTGCAAGATGTCTCACCGCAACCGTCAACAGCACCATAAAAACAGTGCTCAATCAGCGAATCCATGGCAAAAGACCAGTGCCGGCGGAGATGATGCGGTGATAAGCAGCTCCAACCAGAAGCATCATCGGGCGACCAGCGGTAAGAAACCGTCGGTGGCAGAACCAAGTGGCAATGATAGTTTCGTTAAGAAATCGGAGGAAAAATTCCACCAGGCCCACCGAAAGCACGTCGAGTCGGCCAAGAAGTACACCCAGCAGTATGAATCGAGCGAGGATGAGGACGAGGGGGGCTCTTCATCGCAGGAAATTCTGGGCAGTGTATTGAAGAATTACGCCGGCGCTGGAATGGACATTGGCAAGACTCAGGAATATCTGCAGAATCTACTGGAATCGCGTTCGGCCGTGTGTTTGATTTGTATCGGGACGGTGAAGCGGGCGGATTCGATTTGGTCTTGCCAGACCTGTTTTACATTTTTCCATTTGCTGTGCATTCAGCGGTGGGCCAACGATAGTATATCGTTGAAGCGGATGAGCCATGAGCAGCAAGAGGGATACTACAACAATATGGGAGAGTATGTCCCGAAGCCGGCTCTTTCTGTACATTGGGATTGCCCAAAGTGCCGCAAGGAGTACGAAAAGGTAGATATACCGAGGCACTACGATTGTTTCTGTGGAAAGGAACAGAATCCGCAGAATCATCTCTGGTTGATTCCGCACTCGTGTGGAGAAACCTGCCGGAAGCGACTGGTACCAGATTGTGGTCATAGTTGTGTGCTCCTGTGCCATCCGGGGCCGTGCCCACCGTGTCCGCAAACGATTTCAGTCTCGTGCAAGTGCGGCCAATCGGCTCAGAAGACAATTCGGTGCTCGCAGCGAAGCTGGACCTGCCTAAAATCGGTGAGCAGTTCTTGAAATCTTGAATAAAAGAGGGGAACTCATTTGATTTGTTTCATTACAGTGCAAGCAGAAGCGAAACTGTGGTATTCACGAGTGCGGAGCAGTGTGCCACTCGATCGACGAGTGTCCACCGTGCAAAAGTCGGAGCAAGCAAAAGTGCCTCTGCGGGGCAAAAACCAAAGAAGTCAACTGTTACGAGTCCCGTTGGCAGTGTGGTAAAGTTTGTGGAAATCCGTATGCTTGTGGATTGCATCGGTGCGAGAAAGTTTGCCACGAGGGTGATTGCGGTGAATGCCCGATGGGAATGCCGAGGACTTGTCCTTGCGGTAAGACCAGCTCGGTTGCGGCCTGTTCTGAGGAAATTGGAACGTGTGGCGATACATGCCAGAAGTTTCTGGAATGCCAAGAACATCGATGCAGCGAGCGGTGCCACCCGGGCAAGTGTGGCCAGTGTATGGAACTGATGAAGAAGCCGTGTAGATGTGGAAACATGATCAAGGAGGTGGCCTGCCACAAGCAGCTGGTTTGCGAGACTAAGTGTAAAAACGTTAAGAGCTGCAATAAACATCCCTGTAACAGGAAGTGCTGCGATGGGCAGTGCCCCCCATGTGACAAGCTATGCGGAAAAACGCTGACATGTGGGAAGCACAAGTGTTCCTCATTGTGTCATCACGGACCGTGCTATCCGTGCAATCAGAAGGCGACGGTCAAGTGCAGGTAAGTGGAATCAATGCCGCCTGTGATGGATTTATGGAGTTCAAACGATAAATATTTCAGATGCAATGGAACAATGCTGGAAGTTCCCTGTGGCCGTGAGAAAAAAGTAGGCTCTGTCAAGTGTCGCTTACCGTGCCGCATCCCGTCTAAATGTCACCACACGAATCCTCACCACTGCCACCAGGGCGACTGTCCGGCTTGTCAGCAGGTTTGCGGTCTGAAAAATGACACTACCAATTGTGAGCATCCTTGTGGGGCCAAGTGCCACGATGCGGTAAGAGTTGTAACGAAAGATAAGAACTTCAAACCCGTAGGACCGTGGGATGTTCCGTTGGAAATTGTGAGTTTTTCTCATTTTCGCTTCCGAATCAGTATAATAAAGATTTCTTCAATCCTAGGTCGAAATCAAACGACTTCCCCATCCACAGTGTGAGGTAAAAGTTTCGGTTACATGCATCGGAGGTCACGAAACGGCTCTTTGGGCGTGCTACCTCTCTAAACCGACATCTTGTGGACGAGAGTGTGGTCGTGCTCTGAAATGTGGAGTACACACCTGCCCAAAGCAATGCCATGTGGTGAAAAATCTAAACTCAACTCAAGAGGAACCAAAGTGTCAATCCTGTACGGCTGGATGTACAATTCCGAGACCTAAAGGATGCACTCATCCTTGCAAGAAACCCTGCCATCCGCCACCATGCAATCCGTGTCGGGCTCCCACCAAAACGGCTTGCCATTGCGGTTTGACGCAGATTTTCTACAAATGTCACGAATTCTACAGCGACGACAAGACTGAGGATGAACTGAACCTTTACAGGGAAAAAATACTCAGCTGCGGTCAGAAGTGTATTAAGAACGTAAGATTCTAATCAAATTATGCACTACAAGTAACTAAGGGCACATTTTTATCCACAGTTTCCATGTGGTCACCGTTGCAACTCCACGTGTCACTCGAGCGACTGTCCAAATCCGGAAGCTTGCAGCAAAAAAGTTAAAATAACCTGCGACTGTCGAACGCGCAGAATGGAAGTCAACTGTAGCGTAGCCCGAAGCAAATCCAAAGCTCTGGAATGTGACGAAGGCTGCGAAAAAGTGAAACAAAGTCGAACTCGCCAGCTGACGGAGAGGGAACGTCTCCAAAAGGAACAGGAAGAAGCAGAGAACCAACGTGCTCTGGAAGAGTACGAGAAAAAGTTTGGCCCCAAAAAGTACCGGGAACGCAAACGGATCCAGGTGGAGGAAACCAAAGAAACGAATTACTTGCTCTATGTACTACTGTCTGTGGGATTTCTCGTGCTTGCCATGGCTGTCTATTTCATTTTAGCTAACTAGTTTTATTTGTTATCGAGGTAGGTTGTAGTTACCTATTTAACTTTTTTGCTTTCCTTCGTTGATTTTTTGTCCTTGCGAACTAAATCGTAGACATCGAAACGAATGTCATAGTCGATGTGAATTGATCGGAACACCATTAGCGCTACGAAGCAAATAAGAGATAGTACCAAAACGTATTCCGCTCGGTTTCTGCAAATGAGAAAGAAAGCCCTATTAGAATCCGGGATGCGTTATAAATGGCATCTATCACCAGTCACTTACTCAAACGGAGTTCCGCAGATTGTGTACCAGTAGGCTCCCTCTTTGGGTGGCCGTTCTAGACAGTGAAAATCAAAGTACTGCTCGTCGTAATCGTCCGCGCACAGATAGGTGCGTTTCTCCAGGGTTTTCAGTATGGTGTGAACTGGGGTTTTAGCCTGACAGTCACCGATTGGCTCGTGGAGACCAGCGGCAACTACGTCCTCTGGGTTCAGGAAGGCCACCATAGCAAAGAATACGGAATAGTGGACGACCAAATGCAGCATCAGAGCCCTTCCCATGGTGTCCAAACTGAAAGATGATGGAAGATTATTCAGCAATGTTTAAACTCCTTTCGTCGAAGCATCTACCGTTCCGGCAGTCTCCTGTTGCTCTTTCGATCAAATTTCCACAACGTGGTCAAGAAAACGAACAGAAGCGTAACGGCCGTCACCTCTCCGGGCACATTGTAGAAATCGTGAAAGGGATGATACAACGGAATGAAGAGCAAAGCTCCACCTGGGAACGAAAGTAAGGCCGCCACTACCACCGCGGTCAGTTCAGCTTTCACAGATCCTGCCTGCCAGCGATCCAACTTCCGACGGTCCATCCATTTACGCACATTGTGGAAAAAGAATGAAAAAGCGAAAGCAAATGTTGCATGGAAGTAGTACGAATTCCACGGCACCCAGTAGTGCCGATCGGCTATGTTCGGATCGGTATCGTGCCACGTCCAGTGGACGAACTTTACGCTAACGATGTCGTACGGTAGATCAATGAGTACCACCAGCAACCCAGCAGCCATATGCTCCGACCAGCGACATTTGAGGTGCAATTTGGATACGGCCCAATGCGCCTGATAGTAGAACACCGGGTCTGTATTCGATAGGAACAATCGACAGTAATTTCGATTAGATAAGATGAACCGAAACCGACACAAAGTTGGTTGTACTCACAGAGAAAGATAATGTACAGCGGTAATCGGTGACCGAAGAAATCGATAGGCGTTTTTGAATGCCAAAAGTTATCAATACTAGGCACATAGTAGGTTATCAGCTCGACGACTAATCCATGACAAAGCGCACCGAGGAAAAGATACGGCCATCGTCCGCCTCGTTTGAATGCGTGGATTATGCAAAGTAGTGCTCCGAACAGGTATGACGCCTGGCACCAGATGTAGCTCGGCTGGGCACGGTACAGCTCGAGTGGATTCTGGAAATTGACGAACCACGGTGGAAAGTCCTGCGAGGAACTTACAGTTAAATCATGATTACGATCTTTAATGAATAAATCCCACTTACATTGTTGACTTCTTCCCGGGTTTTCTCGATGCCAAATGTACTCAAATTATATCGGTCCATCGTCGCCACAATGGCTAGAACTTTTCCCGCCGGTGTCAACCGACCAACTAACTGTACAATCCTGCAATCAACCGGGTTGTGGTTACCTTTATCAACAAAATTTCAATCATCTTTCGGCTATTTTGATTTATAACAACAAACCGATCTGATTGGTGTGTGTGTGTGGATAGAAGAGGCAGTATGTGAATTTGCTTGCTGATTCGACGCAACACTGTAAATCAGAAAGTGTTGGGGTGTTCATTAATATTTCATTCCAAATTTCTCATGAGAAAAATCTAAGCTCAAAAATGCCTATTTTCCAAACTAACTGATGATAACTTAATAAATTTTACCAACTAACCAGCGACAATAACATATAACGTATAATAAAGAATATCTGGACACCTTGCGACCGAGTGTCGTTACCTGAGCAAAGCTGGAAATCAAACAATTTTTTTTGGCAGACCATAGGTTGTAGCCGTGGGGGCTCAGTTGTCTGCGCCTGTTCTGTCTAATAGATCCACTACTCGAACGCCAGAAGAGACAACCATTGCAATGGTGGTTAAAAAGCACTGCTAACACATTTGAATTGGGATCTATTTGGGCAGCATGTTAATGTAACGATTGTGTGAACTTACAAATGAAATTCTGGGCTTACTTGTGTTGCTAAATCAACCGACCGGGTGGCTTTGTTGGTTATTGTCGTTGCATCGAACCGACTTCTTCGCCAGAATCGGTTCCTCTCATGATGGGGTCCTCATCACTGAATCCGGAGAAGTCCGAAGGAAGTAGGTCTTCTGTTTCACTATCCCAGCCAGAGTCGCTGCTAGTCTCAAATTCCGACTCCACCATGCTGGTATACAATTTTTAGTGGTTTGTTTGAACTTGCTCCTTTCTTGTGCAATACTTCAATGGGAATTTTGCTCCTCTCTACGTCCTGTCGAATACAGGTTTTCCAGGTATATCCCGGTCTTCCAATTTTATTGGGTTCTGGTATTCTGTTCTTGCGTGTTATTTTCAAAATTCCGTCTGGATCGCTCCTAAGGATGTGCCCGTAGTAGCTGAATCTTGATATTCTTATCTTGTTGTTTATCGTATATCCACCCAGCCACTCGGGGCAATATGGCCACTACTACTACTCTCTTGTGGACGCTCTTCGTGATGATTGTTCCAGAAGGTGAGTGGATCAAGGTCCTCCAATTTTCTTCCCATATCCCAAATGGCTTTCCTGATAATCTGTTATGATGGTTCTGGTTTTATGAAAATAAAATGATGTTCTATCTCTCGAGCATGGCTATATGTTGATCCAGCGTGCAGATAGATAATATCGTTGTCTTCTTCAAAACTTCATCGTCTTGATCTAAAGAAAAGAAAATCGCTACTCGATCACGTCAATTTCAAAGGTACATCATTTAAGGCCAAACACAAACAACAACAACAACACATACACATTTTGTGTTTTTATTGCATGTACAGTCAACTATCCCTTACTCGATATTACACTAAATAGAATTCCACACATTTTTATTGACGAATTTTCATGTAAAATTTCACATGATTTTCATGTGACCACACATAAACAGAATCCATCCAGAAGCACACATGAAATTTATGAGTCAAATGAATAGTATATGTGGTTACACATGGCTTTTATGTGTACAAAAGTATGTGTCCGACACATAGATATCATTTGTTGATCACATTAGAATTCATGTGTGGGACACATAAAAACAATCTTTGAAATTTTATCAGTGTATGGATGTATTGAATTACTGAAAGACAGAAGAAGAAAAAATCAAAATTTCTATCAATTTCCAAATCATATTAGCCATCAGTGTTGGAAAAGTTCGCGATATTTCATGAAGTTCATCAAGGGAAAAGTTCGTGAGTCATAGTGAGTTTTCGCGAACTTTTCCATCACTGTTAGCCAAGGTTGCAAAGACTCATTTCAGCTAAAACAATGTTTTTCTAAATTATGAAATAATTAGATGCCATGATCAAATTTTGAATTGGTAGGATACAAGAAGAGGTTGCAAAGAATGTGTTTGACATATTAAACCTATTTATTTCACTTCATGAGAGTCACAATCAGCGATTTTTCACAAACTCACTCACTCACTCACTCACTCACTCAGCGATCAGCAAATCGCTGATTGTGACTCATAGAAAGCAAAATTTACAGGTTTTATGTTTCCAACGCATACTTTGTAACCTCTTCTTGTAAGTTACAAGTAAAACATGCCATCATACCATCTTTTGGTTTTATTATTTCGAAAAACATTATTTTAGCTGAAATGAGTCTTTGCAACCTTGCTGTTAGCCATGAATGTAATCGTCTACTTGGATGTGATTTTCAAATGAAATTGGGTTCTTCGACTTATAATTGCATATCAGTCCCATGGATAGGAAATCAAGCAAAGATGGGACTGATATGCGATTATGGGTAGTATTGTGGTAATTGCATATTCATAATCTGCATGTCAAATGGGACCGCAATACAAAATATCATCAATTGGGTTCTTTAATTTTGAAAAATTAATCGGTTTTTATATATTATCTGAAAGAGCTTTGTTTTCTGAGCACAGCGATATTTTTTTTCGAACCCACACACTTTCATCTCGATTTTTAAATTAAGATTTAAAGCATAACTTCACTGTTTGACACTAAACTGACAAAATGACAGCTTGCTACCATACAAAGTGACACCGAGGGGCGCTATACGGTGATTTTTGCAAATGTAATCGTTCTTATTTAAAATAGTTCCAGTGTACCAAAATTGATAAAATTTTGGGTTTGGGTTACATTTTTAATGCAGCAAAAATTGAGTTCGTATTGATGTGAAGCATCATTCTATTTAAAATTATCTTTTCAAAAAGTTTACTTATTGAAGAAAGCAAACTTATTGGACGGTAGCTAGAAGCTTCAGCTGGATTTTTATCCGGCTTCAAAATTGGAACAACTTTTGCATTTTTCCATTTATCAGGAAAGTATGCCAAATGGAAACATGGGTTAAATAATTTTACCAAGAAAGACAAGGTACTCTCTGGGAGTTTTTTGATGAGGGTATAGAAAATTCCATCATCACCTGGAGCTTTGATATTATCAAACTTTTTAGTTATAGACCTTACTTCGTCCAAATCAGTCCCCCAGGAATCATCAAAAATATTTTCCCGAGCGAAAATATTCTGAAAATCCCGAGCAACCTGATTCTCAATAGGACTAGTAAGACCCAAACTGAAATTATGGGAACTCTCGAATTGCTTAGCAAGTTTCTGAGATTTTTCCAAATTTGTGATCAAAATTTTACCACCTTCTTTAAGCGCTGGAATAGGCTTTTGAGGTTTTTTTCAAAATTTTTGTGAGTTTCCAAAAGGGTTTGGAACTCGGGTCTAATTTAGAAACATTATTTTCAAAAGTTTTGTTCCTCAGGGTAGAGAATCGTTTTTTAATTTGTTTTTGTAAATCCCGCCAGATAACTTTCATGGCAGGATCACGTGTTCTTTGTTATTGTCTCCTACGGACATTTTTAAGACGGATCGAAAGCTGAAGATCGTCGTCTATTATGATTGAATCGAATTTAACCTCGCATTTTGGTACTGAGGCAGCTCTTGTTTCAACTATAGAAGTAGTCAGAGATTCAAGAGCATAATTAATTTCATCTTTAGTTTGCAAAGGAATGTTTGGATCAAAGTTATATTCCATAAATGTTCGATATTGCTCCCAATCAGCTCTATGGTAATTGAAAATAGAGCTGTTGGGATTACAAATTATTTCTTGGGACATGAGTAACCAATTGGCTACAAAGTTGACATGAATCAGTTAAGACCAAATCAATAGTTGAGGGATTTCTTGCAGAAGAAAAGCATGTTGGACTGTTTGGATATTGAATAGTGTAATAACCTGCAGAACAATCATCAAACAGAATATTACCATTGGAATTGCTTTGAGCATTATTCCATGAACGGTGTTTTGCATTACAATCACCAATAAAGAAGAATTTAGACCTATGACGGGTAAGTTTCTGAAGGTCACCCTTGAGAAAATTCTTTTGCTGACCTACGCATTGGAATGGCAAATAGGCAGCTATAAACGTAAGTTGTCCAAATTTTGTTTCAACAGAAACTCCCAAAGTTTCAAAAACTTTGGTTTCAAATGAAGAAAGAATTTTATGTTTGATTTGTCTATGAACAATGATGGCAACGCCACCACAGGGTCCATCAAGACGATCATTTCTATAAATTAAATAGTTTGAGTCCTTCTTAACCTTATGGTCAGGTTTAAGGAACGTTTCAGTTATAACGGCAATATGCACGTTATAAACTATCAAAAAGTTAAATAGCTCGTCTTCATTATCTTTAAGAGATCGAGCATTCCAATTTAAAATGCTTAAAGCTTTAAAATCCGTTACTGAATTTTAAAGTCATGACAATATTATTAGCAAATTTTACTCCAGTTTGAATAGCATCAAACATGGAGTTAGATTTAAGCATATCAGAAATCATGTCAATTAATGAATTCTGTAAAAATTCCATTTTAGGGGCAGTAATGCTTCCTAAGTCAAAATTGTCAAAATTTCCGTTAGAACGTTGGTTAGTATTTTGATTTCTACCCGCTGCAATAGCAGCATAGGTAGCTCCATTAACTCGCTGAACATTGTTAGCAGCGAGGGGAGTAGGTACAGATGAAACATTTGAAGCAGGGGTGATATTTGTACCTACGGGTACGAATGTAGAATTTGTTCCTCGCTGACCGTTGTTAACAGCAGATGAATGTGTACCTGGTCGGACACGTGGAGCGTTTCCTACCTGTCGATTAGAACGAGATTGTAGGATCGCTTTGCGAGTCTTACATTCCCAAAAATTGGATTTGTGGTTTTCACCACAATTTGAACATTTAAATTTCTTAGGATCTTCCTTCACAGGACAGTCGTCCTTTGCGTGAGAGGAATCACCACAATTCATGCATTTAGCTGACATGTAGCAATTTTTAGTTCCGTGACCCCATCCCTGGCACTTACGGCACTGAGTGAGGTTTTGGAAATTTCCTCCAGTCTTCCTGAAGTGT